TTGGGCGCACTTGGATTGCATTCGTGCGAGAGAATGTGTGTGCTGTGGCGCTGGAACTTTCGAAATTGCAGCATGCAATGATTCTGATGTAAGTGAAACCTCTCTAGTGACTTATATTCCCTAGATCGACACACGGTACGGTTTCTATTGAAATGACCATATAATGCTTTCAGGATACACAAGAAGGTCAAGACAGTTAGACGAAGAATTTTCTCACTGGGATCAATCCTTACATAGTGTCCAGTCATCTAGTTTTGATCCGTCATTATCCAGTACTCATGAGTTCATTTACATCAGTATTTGATGTTGTATGATATGTTCGTCTTAAGTTACTTGAATGTTTTTATATTGCATCTGCCCTCATGTTATGTTGGATATATATGGAAGTTTTTAATAAAATTTGGTTCCTCATGCAATCAGAATGACGGTCTCCAGGTTAAACAGATGTTTGAATATGAGCCATACGCTTTTGTACAAGCGTAAGCGACTGTGCAGAAAACAGAAAAGCTGACTAGACGGAGAATGAAACAAAGGCAAGGCAGGAGGGCGCGAGGTGATCTTAGTTAGTTGTGGAAACTCCATGATCACTGCTCTACTCGCATATCGATATGCAGCAAGTCAACGTCATTGAATGAAGAGAATAACGGCAGTGAAAAACCTAATCTTCAATAACAAAATTAGGTTTCTCAACAGAAAACTTCCCATTATAACTGGCTGGGTATTGAAAAAAAGCCCATTAAAAACAAAGAGAAAAGTCGCAGTCCATAGCTCTGAAGGGTTCTCCACTTCGCATTTCGCATTTCACCTGTGTACAAAAACAGAATTCCTATTATTAAAACATTAAAACCAGCACCTATTATTCCAGCATTAATATAATTTTTGCAGTTTATAATGTTTCTCAAGTCGATTCACCTTCTCATCGTTGCCATTCTCTTCAGTTTTTTACCTTTTACTCGCTTGATAAAGATATGCAGACAGCACAATGAAAATGTGGTCCTCACACTTAATTAAGATCGCCTCGCACCGAGGTGCAAAGTGTCCTCAATTACAGAAGTTGGCATATCCCAAGCTAGGGTTCTATCAGTGAAGGTAATTACCCAGCAGTTGTCTCAGAAGGAAGACAAATCGAGGAGCATGCAACAGAAATAGAAACACATAACCTAACAGTGTTCAGTCATTCACTAGGGAAGGGTACGCTACAAAATTATAGTTTAGCAACTCATTGATCGCATGAAGTTACTTCTTACAATCAATAAC